TCTTAGTCCATTTATAACTTTATAAGATCAAAATCTTATTTAGCTTTTTGCTGTTTATTTCAAATTTCTTACATTCTTAAGCTTATGCTTAAAATTTGCTTTCAGGAGTGAAGGCAAATTCACCTGGTGTTTTCAAACTTGTCATTCCAAAAGTCTCTACTAGCTTAAAAGTAGTTAATAAGCAATTTCTGAAAGTGGCTAGAAAGTGAGGTTGCTGAATTTACCGTCCTTTAAAAAATGCCGTTGCACGCAAGATGGCTATTCCTGTCGTTTCCCAGTACTCACATCTGCAGGAGACTGCTGTCCTGCAGTCTCCTAATGAGGAGCAGCCATCCAGAACACATGTGAGCAATCTCCTGTCCTCCCCTTATCTGGAGAGGTTGCAAGGAACTGGTCTACTCACCAGTTCTTTGGTCTTTGCTGTGGTCATCGGCTCCGCTTTTGTGGGGATGTCTTCAGTCCATCATTCCTCCCCCAGAAGCCTCACCACCTGAAAGTTTTTAAGCTTACAGAAACTCTTAATCTCTGCTGAGGGGCATTTAAGAGATTACAGAAGCCTGCCAGTAAAAGAAAATAGATTCAAACCTTTTCTGATTGTTTTGACAGAACTTCCTGTTACCTCAGCTGATGATTCTGTCAAAGAATAGAATGGAATAGAAAAATGATCCAAGCAGTTTATGTAGTCTTTCCTAACTGTACTCCCCCTGCTAATGGAGCCAAATGGGGTGCATGGGATATTAGGACACCCAGGATAGTGTTACAGCTAGAAGAGTGATAGAGGAAGACTGGGGAACAATCCCATTGATCACAAAGTAAAGCCCATATTATGATCTGTCTTAATAAGCTAAATTTTTGGGAGGGATAAAGAATTGTATTTTGCTATCAGTGTTGTATTCACACTAAATCATCTAGTGGAGTTATTCAAATTTATAAAAAAGTCTGGAACATTAACAATCAAGGAAATCTGAGGAAGGTTACTTTGTAGTGCACTGTGATACTTTGGCTAAACACGTTGTGGATAAAATCTCTCACAGTCACTCCAACTTGGATTCTTTAGTTACAGCAGATCATATTGATATACCAGTTAATGTCTGCTTATTTATTTGGTATGGATAAGCTTTACCTTATATAGCCTAGAAATGTAGAATAGAACTTGAGCATAAGATCATCTACTCTTATCTGCTGTGGTGGTGATGATAATGATGATAATAATGTTAATAATGAAATATCTGGAGGGGTGCCATAATTTTGGAAGGATGCTTTAATCCTACCATTTTTAACTCACGGACACTCATCTGAGTGTTACTGGACAAGAACTATTAGCAGATCTGGATTTGGGATTCAGGCAGCTTTTAGTAATTAGTAAAGGCAATAGGTTCCTTTTCCCTGGTCTTGTTTATCATTACAAAACAATTTTCTCTAAAATTTATCGAACAACTTGCCTCAGATAGTTTGTGGATTTCCTTAGTTTTATTCTTGACTATTTTTAATCTATTTTTCAATCTTTTACACTGGGGAACTGATCTAATTTCTATTTTTGTGTTATTGTTCTACATGCACTTTTGAATTTTGCTTGTGAGGTGATCTGCTGGGTGTTTTCTGTGACCCCAGATGAATTGTCTGAGAATTGTTTTCTTACCTTAGACAGCTTTCTGGGAGATGTATCAGAACATTTCAGAATTGGATCTACAGCACAAGGTGGGAAGTGGTATGGGACTTAGGTTTTCCTGAGTTTTTTTAATGGCCTGCTACTTTTTATTCCTTGGAAAGGTTGAATATTTGAAGTTTTGTTTCCTCTTGTGTTCTACTTTTATTTGTATATTGCTTTTGTTCCTTCTCAGATAACATTATTGCAATTATACTGAATTGTTTTAATAAGTTAATTTTTGGTAACTGGATACTTAGAACTTACGGTCTTAATTTTTTTTCCCCAGTCACTCATGGATGCATTGTCTCAACAATAAAACTATTTCTCCCTGATGGTATGGAAGCTAGGCTACGGTCAGAGTAAGTACAACTTTAAAATTATTTTCGTGTCCAATATATTCAGATATTAGATAATTTCCATATATACATAAGGACACCCTGATTTTTTCATTCAAGAACTTTAATATGTCAGCCATGGCTAGCCAACTTGAGTTGCCCTTTTGAGAGACCATAGGAATGTTATATTTCTTGCTAAATGTGTTTTATATATTGTAAACAATTTGGGCTATTCAATATGATATATCTGTTTAATATAAACAATTTGGGAAATTTAGTGGTATTATTGCATAACAAACCAAGATTTCTGAAATGTTTTTTTGAATTCTTCAGATATAACGCATGGTCTCTGTACATGCATGAAACCTATATTCTATAAGGTTACAGAATATAGCACTGTATGATAATTTTTAGAATGCTAGTAGTTAACAAGTACTGTATTTCCCAAAATAATTATCTAATAATTGGGAAGATCCTCATGTATTCCTTGATAAAAAAAGAAGAGAAGCTGTTAAAAACAAAGGATTGAACAAAAGTTGCCAATGGATACAGGCATGGTGCTGTTAAAAGGAACATTAGCGTAAAGAAACATTAACATGAACATTTGCCTGTTTTTTTCCTTTCCCCATCCAGTTATTTCTTCCTCTTGCCTGATCTCCAAAAAGTGTTATTCCCACTGTGCAGCTACCCCTTTCATTTACTTCATTTCCATCCTATATGTTTCCTTTTTCTTTTTTGCTGTTTCTGCTAACAGGAAGGAGGCAATTTTTCTCTCTTTGTAGTTTTCTGTTTATGTGTGCAATTGGTCTGCATTTGTATGTAAGACAGTGTTTGGTATATGTGGATGGAAATCAATTAACTCGTTACCTTAGTTATTCATTATATTAATATAGCTTTTTTCTTTTAGTTCTGCCCTTTTTGTGGGGGTGGAGGCTTCTGGCAAATATACAGTACATGTATACATACATATGGAGCATCACATCCATGCTTTTATTATTGATTTCTCTATAATTGGTTTCAGTTGGTTTGGCAGCCATAAGAACATGGCCATTGCATATAGGATTTTGTCAATTGTATAATGCTATGGGTGTGTGTGATCTTAACCTCAGGATTGATTTTCTCTTGGCTAAATATGGTGGAAAGACTTTTTAATTGGTAGCTTTTTCTTCCATAGTGTCATCCATGCTCCATTACCAAGTCCTGTTGATAAGGTAAGTCTTAAAACATTTCTCCTTCAATATCCCAAACATTTAAAAATGTTTATATACATGGTGAGGGGAAAAAAAATCCCCTCTCACCCTTGTGGGTAGTATATGTCTTCCTCAATCTCAGGTTCTCTACCAGAGGCCTGGGAATTTGAGGATTCTACAATATCTTAGCTGTTCCTAGCACTGCACTCTTCTGGACAAAGAGCTCTGATGTTGTTCCTGGGATCTGTTGGAGCCACTCTCCCAGCTTAGGAGTCACAGCCTTGAGTGCGTCTACCACCACTGGGATTACTTTGGCCTTTACTTTCCACATCCTCCCTACTTCATCCTTCAGGCCCTGGTACTTCTCCAGCTTCTCATACTCCTTCTTCCTGATGTTGCTGTCACTCGGCGACTCTTAATCTGCCACCACTGTTGTCTTCTGGTCCTTGTCTATTACTATAATATCTGGTTGATTGGCCAGTACCTGCCTGTCCATCTGGATCTGGAAGTCCCACAGGATCTTAGCCCTGTTATTCTCCACAACATTCTGTGGAATCTCCCATCTGGACTTGGGAGGATCTAGCCTATACACTGTGCAGATGTTCCTGTATACAATGCCAGCTACCTGGTTATGCTGTTCAGTGTATGCTGATCCTGCCTGCATCTTATACCCTGCCACTATGTGTTGGAGTGTCTCTGAGGCCTCTCTGTACAGTCTGCACCTTGGGTCCTGTCTAGTGTGGCAGACTCCTGCTTCTATGGATCTGGTGCTTATATGGTGAGAGAGAGGGATACAGACATACATACATATACATACATAAACACTTGACATTTCTGTTTAAAAATGTTGAACTCCAGGTTAAAGGCTGTAGCCAAAAATTGAGATAAAACAAGTCAAATAAATAAAATGTTTCACAGAAAAGTGTTAAGAGCAGAATATTCCATCTATCTCTGTAGGCAAATAAAGTCCTATACGTTTTACTGAATGAAAATTCATTCTGTATATTCCTTCTGTCTGTTAAAGGATCTACAGTGAAGCAATCTGTAAGGAGGTTTTGCACCTGAAGTTGGCAAGGAAGACGATACTTCTCACAGATCAGAGAAGTGATTCATTGTCTTATATCATTCCTTGACCCTTCATACTTCAACCATTATTAAACAAAATAAATGATGCTGTAGTATATACAAAGATGCCTTTTTTTTAGTTTATATAACTTAAGATATATAATTTGGGCCTTTCAGTTTTTTATATCCCTAGAATATGCAGTTATTTTAGTAAAGCTTGGCCTATTATTGCAGCTCTCCCCACAACACGATGCCCTTCAGTTATATTAGGGCTATAACTTCCAAAATGTCCAGGGTGAACTTCACTGAAAGTTCTACAGTTCCTTTAGCACTTGCCCAACACCTTGCATACCTGATCTTTTATATAGAGAGTACTGCAAAACAAACTGTTGTAACACCAGTTTAATCTTTATTTTCAGAGAATGCCTCTTGGTCTTAAGTAAATACCATAAGCTTTTTTACAATATAAAAATGAGGGGCCACTTTATTTGGAAGTGCCCATCTACATAGGAAAAGGAAAATGGTAAGCAGCAGTAATAAGGTGCATCCTGTAGATGACAAGCCAGAAGGAATAAAGGAAATAAAAAGTAGCATTCTTGTAAATCAGTATGTAGAAATTGGTTGTGTTGCCCCACAGCCGTTTTACAAGAACGTTCACAGCATGTTCTCAAAATCCCTATCCCCACCAAAAAGGCTGGAGACTGAAGTTGTGGAAGGCTGCACTGACCTTATGTAATAAGACTTATTTTGGTCTGCCTGTGATTTCCTAAATATGAATCCATTAGTCTTGCAGAAAGGAAAAAAAGGACATTTTTTTTAGTTTATTATGTTCCTAGACCAAAGAATTTAAAAATAAAATAATAAAATAGATACATCACAATCAACACATAATTAAAATAATATACCAAGTGTATGTAAAATTATATTCACATAAAATAATATTAAGACTTATTTATGTTCCATCAAGCCATTATACAATATTGGGCTATACTGCCTGAGTTCTCTACTTCCTGATTAGCTAATAAGAGATTGAGATTGTCATTCTCACTCCTGCTTAAATATTGTATTGTAATTGGGAAAATATATATTGCTTGCTTGCTTGCTTGCTAATGTGCCATCAAGTCAGTGTTGACTTAACAATCACATACATAGGTTTTCTCCAGGATGCTCTGTTCCTAACCTGGTCTTTCAGATCTTTCAGTGGTATTGCCACTATAACTGAGTCCATCCACTTTGCTGCTGGTAATTCTCTTTTTTGCTTTCCTTCCCCCTTTCCCTGAACTGTAGGCTTTTCCAGAGGGTGAAGCCTTTCCATAGATAATTTGTGCTTGAGTGAGATCTCTGGATTGATTTGTTCTATGTGTCAGGGTGTGCAGCGTACACTCCGCACAGTGGTGCTCCATGAGTGAGACAAAATAAACAGTCCACAGTCCAATGTAGAAAACCTGCACACAGGCGTTTACTGTACAATATATACAGTATGTACACCAACCTGCAAATCCCTAATTACTTCCCAGAACTCCAACACCAGCCACAACTCCTATCACCAGCCACACTATAACCCATGGTGCACTTTGCTATATACCGTGGTTTGTGCTGTGTCATGCTGCCACACCCTACAGGTATGTGCTCTGGGTGGATTGCAGGGATTGCAAACACAGTCAAGCTGTGCTCTGTCAGGTCCATATTCTCACTGAGAAATTCTTTACTCCAGGGTAATACCCTGACACTATGATCCATTTGTTTGTTTTCTTGGTTATTCATAGTGTTCTCAGGAGTCTTCTCCAAAATCAGAGTTCAAAAGTGTCCATGTTCTTTCTATCCTGCTACCAGTACTAGAAGATGAAGTTGGATCAGTGTTCTGGTCATTACAGTGTTGGAAGACTATAGGAATTGATGGCATATCCACAGAAATATGGCAAGCAACTGAAGAAGAATCAATAAATGTTCTATCCAAAGTACGCCAGCAAATCTGGAGAAAGTCATAGTGACCAACAGATTGGAAGAAGTTGGTCTACATACCAAACCCAAAGAAAGACTTAAGAGAGTGTGAAAACTACTGTACAATAACCTTAATTTCACATGCTAGCAAAATAATGCTTAGGATTATCCACACAGATTAGATCTGTACATGGAAAGGGAGATGCCAGATGTTCAATCTGGTTTTAGAAAAGGCTGAAGAAGAGACCTTATATCTGATGCATAGTGGGTAATTGAGAAAGCCAAAGAATATCCAAAAGAAGTCATTGTGTGCTGCATTGATTATAGAAAGGTCATTGATTGTGTTGACCGTGTCAACACTAGAACATGCTTAGGAAAATGAGAATCCCAGTATATCTCATCCTACTGTGAAACTTATACACAGTACAGAATATAGTGAAGGTCAGCAGATCAGCAAAGGAGTGAGTTATGGTTGTATATTCTCAAAGTTGGATTTTGAGAAAGGATAGAAAGGGTATTGAAGCTTTTGAGCTTTTGTGTTGGACATAACTCTTGAGAATACCATGCATAGCCCAGAAAACAAACAAATGGATTATAGAACAAATCAATCCAGAGTTCTCACAAATGATCATATTTTGGATACTTTATGTGACGACCCAGCTCCCTTGAGATGAACATTATGCTGGGAAAGGTGGAAGGAAAGAGAAGAAGAGGATGGTCAGCACTAATGGACCCAGTGGGAGTCTCAGTTGGGAGACCATAAAGGGTGGTCTACCTATGTGGTCCCTAAGGGTTGACAGCAACTTAATATCACATAATAATTATCATAATCATTATAAGGTCATTATCAGCAGTATTAATGTATTAATGCTCTCTTGAAATAATGGCTGCATCACCTACTTATAAAAATAACACAATAGTCTACCAACCAGATTTGACAGATGATGTTCTGGTTTTATGAGTTTTTCCATCATATTATTGATAAAAATTAAATAGCCAGGGGGCTAAAATACACTCTTGAAAGTAGCTACCACAGCAGAAAGCTCACCTTGATTGTCAGGAGAAGTAATTTACCCAGCAGATCATGTAACTGGAATGGCACTTACAGAACTTCTGGCCCAATACTCCCTACTTGTTACAGAAATATCCCAAATTAGAGCATTTTCAACTAGTAGTTGCCCACTAGTGGGTTCAAAGCTGTCCATTAGAGCTAGTCCTGCTCTTTGAGACAATAAAGAACAAATATTTGCTCTCTTTTGTGTGTCAGTATCAGATATCTGAAGAGTATTGTCACGTTTCCCCTCAATCAACTACTGTCCAGGCTAAATATGACACTCCCTTTAACTTCTCATACTTTATATAGAATTTGTTTTCTATACTCTTGACCATTTTTACTGCTGTTCAATAATAATAATAATGATAATAATAATAATAATATTATATTGAATTTATCTCTGCCCATCTCCTCCTAACGAGGGACTCTGGGCAGCTCACATAGTACAGCATATATACAACTTAACAATGACAAATTACAAGCCTATTCTAATTACAATTAGTGCAGCCCTACTCTGTTGTGGCCAGCAGTGGTCGCAAGGGAGTAATCTCATCTGGGCTTTCTTCCACCGATGATCTTTTCTGCCCACCGCGTCAGTCGCGTCCAGTGTCCGGCTGTCGTGTCAGTCGCATCCAGCGTCCGGCATTTTTTCTGCCAATCATGTCCAGCACCAGTCCCCATGCAAAGTGCCACCAGTTCCTCCCACCGAAATGGGAGTATCTATTTATCTACTCACAGATGATATACACTTTCGAACTGCTAGGTGGGCAGAAGCTAGAGACGAATAACGGGTGCTCACCCCATCATGTGGAGGTAGGCCCGAACCGCTGGAGTGCCGACCATTTCTGGCCAGCGAACGCCAGCGTCATTAAGCCCCAGTGGCATAATTTATTGAATGTACTGTTCAATTTATGTACATTCTATTTACAGAGCAATAAATTGGCCAGAGTACTTCAAGTGAGATCTGATTTGAGTAGAATAAATGAAATATTCTTGTGGCTTGGAAGTGATTGTTCTGTTCAGCCTAAAATTGCAATAACACCTGCATTGTGTGGCTGATTCATATTCACTGTCCCAAGATTTTTTTTCAAATGTGTTCCTGCCAGACCAGATATCCCAGTCTCACACCTGCAAATTTGATTGACTTTCTTTGATATTAAAGGAACAAACCATTTTCCTCAGTACCATATTTTGTTAAAAATTTAACTGGTAACAATCAGAAATATTAACATTAATCACTTAATGGAAACATCATCATAAAAAACTAAAGCAATTTTATTTGAATAGCAAAGCAGACAAGGAGAAGAACTGCTCCCCAAGAATCTAGTGGTCATCTTACTGGTGGACTGCCACATAACAATGTTGCATTGGGGGAAATTTCTATATGTAGATCTTCAAGAAGAATAAAAAAGAGTAGCAGTGCCCAAGATGCCATAAAATACAGTTTAATACGGCAAATCCAGATCGTGCTCAGGGCATCTCCTGAGAGACCTTGGAATGGAATCAAGGTCTTAGTGATTTTAAAGAAACTTGTCATAGCAGTCCTTGATGGATTCTAATGTATCTTTTCCAGGATATCCTCAGTTAATGTGAATAGTCTAGTATCCCTGTGTAAGATAAATACACGTAACATACAAACCTATTGGGTGGCAGTGCTTCCTGTTGTATTTTTTGCCTGTTGCCAAATTTATTTATTTAATTCTTTCAGATTACTCAGTGATGCCAGATTAGCATCACGTAAATAGCTGTTTCACTTGCTATGGCATGAAATACATTAAATTGCATGGGACAGACTTTAATTATAAAATAGATATTTGTAGGCAAGCTGTAATTTTTACATTATTTAGAATTTATGGACAGTTTCAAAAGTTGCAGCAACAGCAATCTAATTATAAATACCCTTGATTTCTGATCTTCATAAAAATATAGGCTAGATTAGAGATCAATGTGGATTTAAAAGTTGGCTTTTCCAGTGCAGGTACATTCTTGTGTACTTTTGCAGTTGGCTGTGTGAGAATGATTTCTTGCACATTAAACATTCCAGCACATAGTATATTAAGTACTCTAATTTTCTTCCATATAAGGAAGAAAACTGAACTGTAGAGAAAGCTGCATTACTTTTTTTTTGGTAGTCTTAAAACATTTAATACTGTGTTTTGTGTGGCTTCTCTTACATTTATATTATATGTATATCTGGGCAAAGTTCTTAAACTATATTTCTGTATTATAAACAAGGGATCTTGATAGGCATGTAATGTAGAAGTTATTCCATGTTCAAATTCATATTTATGAATGTAGTGTATTATTACATTCTGTTTCTCCTGTGTTTATATTGCTTCATACAAATTGTTCTGAATACAAACAATACTACCCACAATTTTCTTTCTAACAATTTACAAATTCAAATTCATTTTTATCACTTTTTTATTGAATCAAAACAAATACAGTGGTGGTTAAAAGTTTGTGAATCCTTTTGAATTTTCAATATTTCTGCATAAATATGACCTAAAATGGGATCTGTTCTCCGCATAAGTCCTAAAACTAGATAAAGAGAACCCAAGTAAACAAATGAGTCAAAAACATTACACTTGTTCGTTAATTTAGTAAGGATTTTAGTGATTTTTTTTCGTCCTAACTTGTTGTACTATTCTGAACAATTCTACCCATTTTCTATATAACAGCACTGATGATGTTACCTAGCCTGGTAATGAAACGTCTGCAGGAAAACAACCAAGCTCAGAGAGTTTTTTGTTGTTTGCTATACCTCCATGTTTGTGTCATCTGCAAATTTATAATCATATTTTAACCTCTCATATAAGTCATAAATATGTTGAACAGCATGGGGCCTAGAAAGGTTCCTTCAGGATATCACTTGACTCTTATGTTCAGCCTTATACACAGTTACTGTCATAAACTCATTGGGTACAGTTGTTCAGTCTACTCTGTATCCATCTAATATTTCCCATCCTCTTTACAACAATCTCATGGGAGACTTTGTCAAATGGCTTTGTTGAAATCAGAGTACAGTTTATCTACCACATTCCCATGGTCAACCAAACTGGTTATGCTGTAATAAAAGGAGAACAGATTGATTTGGCATGACTTGTTTTTAATAAACCCATGTTGGCTTCTGTTAAATGCATTTTTCCTATACATTTTTTCCCCAGTATTTGTGGTTACCCAGGTCTTCTTTTTCTTTTCTTATCACCCTTGGTGTTGAAGTCATGTAATCTTTAGTATAAGTGCATGATATAAGATAAGAACTCTATGTCTCTAGTCTGAGAGCTCAAAATAAGAAAGTGTATATCACTCATAGAATGTCCCTAACTGATGGTATACATCCATCATGATTACAGCCATTTTCTGTTTCCTATGCGTTCTCCCAGCTCAGTCGAAAACTCTCTGTGTTATTACAACAGTATCCTAAGCTGTATCCCTTTTTCTAATTGGAATGGTATGCAGTTGTATTTCCAGTGTCTTTTTTTAAAGATCCCCAACCCTTCTGCATTCCTTTTGATTTAAGGATTCCTTTCCTTCAGATCCCACCTAGTTCTTCTTTAAATGGCTCTTGGAATCTAGTGTGCATGTAGAATTATGTTCCAATTTCTCTTTCTATAGCATCTTGATTCCCAAAATGACATATCAGCTTCCTCCCAAGTTTCCCATTGCTTTTGCCTCATGAATGTTTTTCCTTATTGTTTATGACCAGAGAGAGAAAAAGAAATCCACTTGTATCTTCTTCAATCTTCTGGAAATAAAACAATTTTGGGGACTTTGCCATCTTGGCGAAGTCAGTTTACTAACAGATGTCCATGTAATTGAAGTTTTCCATTATTATGTCTCTCCTTTATGAAAGTTCTGGGAAGCATTGTCTGGTCAATAAGGGCATTGTTCAGATTATCTGCCTAGCTTGGTGGTCAGTAGCACACCCCTACAATACAATCTTTTTGTTTTCCACTTCCTTGTACCTGGAAGAATTGCTTCAGGCCTTGCACAAGAGGAGCATCACTTTATTATTTATTAAAGCAACCTGACTTTTTTCAGCTTGAAAAAAAATGTTCTGCTTTAAGAGTGATCCTTACTTTAAGGAGTAGATTGTTTAAAGTACAGTAGCAGCATCTTTTTTACAGGCTCACACTTTAAGAAATAGCAGAGGGTCTACACTTGAGCTTGAGTGAGCTCTGAAACACTTCTTCCAAATCATTTCTGAAGCATGCATAGCCTTAATTTGAGAGAATGTCAGTGATGACAAGATATCCACTTGATATAGTATGGAGAGTTATTTATGTAAGTTAAAAGAAAGGAAGCTACACAATCAAAACAAGGAAGGGAATTTTTAATGTAGCATTTTATTAGGGCTACCCATTCTGGATGGCAAAAGTCTAGATTGAAGCAGAAAGTTAGTGTTTTCTATTCCTTTTTGCTGCTGCCTAGAGGTTGTCTGAAATTTTGCAGCCCAGATCTGGTAGCCCTAAATTTATTTAATATGAGGATATTAATATTGGGCACTAAAATTGAAATCTGACATCAGATGAATAATAGAGGCTTTTGTTTCCCAATTTTATAGGTTGCTGCTAACACTCCCAGTATTTACTCTCAGGAACTGTTTCAGCTTTCTCAGTATCTTCAGGTAATATGTGTACAGTTCTACACAGACTTATAAAATTCAGAGTTATAAAACTCAATTATAACATTATAAAATTCAAATAAGAGCTTTACCATGGTAAGAAATTAGGCTGAATCTTGATAGATAATCATGTTTTCCTAATATATACAACTAAAATTCTTGCTGTAAAACCTGAAAGATTGCTAATCTAAGACCCCATGTGTACAATCAAATAATGGCATAGCATTAGTAATGGTTTGTCAAATATAATTATATTAATCTAAATGTGTAGCATACCATATTAATAACTATACTGGTGAAATATTAGTATTCCAATCTCTCCCTTGTCCCTTCCCCTAAAGATAGAGAGGAATTTTGGGATTGGGGAGATACATAACTATTTTATTAAAACTACAGTAGGGGATTAGAGATGTTATAAGGTAAATTGAAATTATTATCTTATTGTCAGCTTCTTTTTGTTTTCTGTAATTTCTAAGTGTGGCACATAGGTGGCATTTTTGTATATCCGGTTACAACATATTTATGTTATGTTCTAGATTTGTTGTCCATTAAGAATAAAATTAAATGTGTTAATGTTTTATTCATTTTTATGGATTTTTGGTTTTGCTGCCCAGAGTCTATTGGAGTTGGGTAACCAGGAATTTACCATCTTTGGTGCTGGATGGGGTGGCAGTGCCCCAAACAGACTCTGTGCACAGTCTGGGTATCCTTCTGGACTCACAACTCCTGCTCAAGGAGCAGGTGGCAGTCATGGCTAGGAGGGCCTTTGCACAACTTGTTCTCTTGTGTGCCAGTTGCCTCCGTTCCTTGATCAGGAGGCTCCACTCTCAGTCACTGATGCCCTGATCATCTCCCAAATGGACTACTGTAATGCACTCTAAATGGAGCTGTCCTTGAAGAGCATCTGGAAGCTTCAACTGATGCAAAATGTGGCAGCATGCTCCTAGATCAGCACACATTACATCTCTGCTCCACGAGCTACATTGGTTGCCAGTTTGCTTCTGGGTTCAATTCAAGGTGCTGGTTATGACTTTTAAAGTCCTACATGGCATGGGGCCTGGTTATTTGAGGGACTCTCCGGTTACATCTATCCATCCCATCAAATCCAGCAGAAGGGGCATGTTATGGGTCTGTCTACTAGAGTTTCATCTGACAGGACCCAGGAGGAGAGCCTTTTCTGCCATGGCATCCACCCTCTGGAACCTCATTCCTCTGAGGTTAGATTGGCCCCAAAACCATGCTGATTTTCCAAAAATCCCGTAAAGCTTGGTTTTGCCATCAGGCTTGGGGATCCCATGGAGGTACAGAGCCTGCAAAATGGCTGTGTTGTATGTAAGATTTTGGTTGTACTCTCCTGTATTTTATGTTCAAAGTTTTTAAATGTTTTAATTGTTTTTAACAGTTCTTGTTGCAATTGTTTTGGTAGTTGTCTTTGTTTTTGCAATTTTAATTGTGTGAGCCACCAAGAGTCATGTATGTGAGATGGGCAGCTTTCTAAATTCAGTGAATAAATACATTTTTAGAAATCTCCACCTAGTCTGTGAAAAGACATTATAATTTTGCATTCTCTTGGTGGCATCCAGGTGGTAGTTATACCTTGATCTAGGCCCTGCTTATACCAGCTAGAAATTATAATGCTATTTGTTAAGTTTTGTTCCATTTTATGCTGATTTAAGGATAAGTTCAAATTATTGTCTACTTGATCTATTGAAAAGAAGAGAGTAAAGTATGCCATCTAGTGGCCATTGGTGAAGAGAACAATAATCCTGTCATAGGAAATGGATATTATTTTCACAGTTTCTGTAACTAGTGTTTGATGCCTGAACTGCTTTGTTTTCCTTGTAGCAGAATTAGCTTGATATATTTTTTGTTATTAACAAGAAAGGTTTACAGCAAAAGGAATACAAACATAAGTATATAATGTATATAAACTTATATATAAACATATTAAGTATTAAAAAATTATGGTGCAGAATGGGGAAGATTATGACAATATTCTTTAGTCAGATTAGATATAAATTAAATATCTCTGATTTGATGTTTGGAGGTATCTTGTAAAAGCTGAATTTTTTTCTGCCTGCTTGTGGAAAAACTATAAATGTGTCTAAAAATATAAAATATGAATATAAGAAGATTTGAAGCATGTATATATGGTACACAGGTGCATACTGTTTGGTAGGCATAAGATATGCAAAAGCCCTGACTCTGATCTTGACTAAAACTATCTAATAGGTACCTGTATTCATATATATGGAAGACAGTTGGTAACAGTATTTGAAGGAAGTGTTCCATAAGATTAAAGCCTCATATTTTTGAAAGTGACAAGGTGCTTCAGACTGTGTAATCTGCAACTCATTAAAGCAGCTGTGTCTTTTCCTGGGATGGTTATTATTTGTTTGTTTGATTGTTTATTTATTTAAATTTATTGGCTTCCCAACTCCAGTGGACTCCAGGGTTGTGCAGCTACCTTGTGCAACTACAAGTCATAATGTTTATATCTGTGCTTTAGAATACAAGTTTGTGTGCAATTTAAAATAATGCATCCTTTGTATTAAAGTTATTGCAACCATTATATTAAAAAGAAGAAAAAGAAAAGCTGTTACCAGGCTGTTATTCCTCTGTCTCCAGTGATGTTTATGCAGATAGTTATGGCTAGGCTTAAAAAAGTTAAATATATGCAGAACTTTTCATTGCAGCATTTTTTGCTGCAAACAAATCACTCTACTGTCCTTGAAATATTATTAGCCCCCAGTGAGGCACTACCTTGACATGGTTGTGGGGATGATGATGATGATGATGATTAGTTGCCCATCTCCAGTGGACTCTTGGCGATGCACAAAACTAAAAGAGACAACTAAAAATATTAAATTAGACAGCGCAGACTAATACACTCTAGTAACAAAATCCACAAAACAAAACAAGGATCTTTAAACAAATAACAAACATCAACCCCAGGCCTGGGACCAAAGCCAGGTTTTCAAAGCATTCCAGAACCCTAGGAGAGAGGGTGCCATCCTTATCTCTGGGGGGGGGGGGGCTGCTGTTCCAGAAGGAGGGGGGCGCAACAAAATGCATGCTTCCCTAGTCCCACAGATTACAACATTTAATAGAGGGAACCTGCAGCACACCCACTCTGCTGGAATATACTGGGTGGGCAGAAACAATTGGAGATAAGCAGTCCCTTCCAGGCCCTATGCCATACATGACTTTATAACTAATAACCAGCACCTTCAATTGCACTTGAAAGCCAACTCGGCACACCAAGAGGTGCTTGTTACTGCTCACACTGCTGCATGTGGAGCCAGCTGTAGCTTCTAGGTGCAGGGCAATCCCATATAGAGCACATTGCAATAATCCAGTCGTGAGGTGACCAGGGTATGAGTGACTGTCTGAAGAGCCTCCCAATTGAGGAAAGGGCGCAACTGGCACACAAGATGGACCTGTGCAAAGGCCTTCCTGGTCACAGCTGCCACCTGCTCTTCAAGCAGTAGCTGCGAGTCCAGGTTGTGCACCAGTCTTGACTGGGGAAATGCAGCCCCATCCAAGACCAAAGATGGTGACATCCCCAACCCAGGGGATCCAAGTAGCCATAGCCACTCAGTCTTGTTAGGACTGAGCTGAAGTCTGTTCTGCCCCATCCAGACCCAACCAGCATCCAGACACTGGGTCAATATATTGTCAACTTTACCTGTGCTGCTCAGGGAGGAGATGTAAAGCTGGGTACATCAGCATACTGATGATACCACACCCCAAATTGGTGGATAACCTCTCCCAGTGGTTTCATGTAGATGCTGAACAGGGGAGAGTGAGGGACCCTACACATGAGAGGTTGTGGGTGCAATCTCTTCCCCCGCGGTCAACCCCGACTGGAATTGACTGCTGAGGAAGGAAGTAAGCCAGTGGAGCACAGTGCCTCCCCCTCCTAACCCCCACAGCTGGTCCAGAAGGATACTGTGGTTGACATATTGAAAGCTGCTGAGAGATCTAGGAGCACTAGGATGGATGCACCACCCCCATCCTGGCTCTGCCAAAGGTCATAATCAAGTATGACCAATGCTGTCTCTGTACTGTACCCTGGCCTCAAGTCAGACTGAAACAGGTCCAGATAATCTGTTTCCTCCAAGGTCCTCTGTAGCTGTCGTCCAACCAACTTTTCCACAACCTTCACCAGAAAGGGAAGATTGGAAACTGGCTGATAATTCTCCAACAGGGAAAGGTCCAGTGACAACCTCTTGAGGAGGGGGCGCATGCACCACCACCTCCTTCAAGGCTGGTGGGACCACCCCCTCTCTCAAAGAGGCTGAAACCACTGCATGAACCCATCCTATGGTCACCTTCCTAGCTGCTTTAATTACCCAGGAGGGGCCAGGATCTAACAAACAGGTGGTTGAACTAACAGACAAAAGGACCTTGTCCACTTCCTTATGCATAACAGAATCAAACAAGACTGTTCCCTGGGCAATTCATTAGGACTTGCCCAGTTGGAGTCCAACTCCAAGTGAATCTGAGTGACTTTGCCAGATAGCATGAATATTCCTCACCACAGCCCTGGAGATGATGTCACATAGGGTTGATTATGTAAACTGGATGTCTCTATAGATGTTATATATGATGTTACCTGTTTACTGGAAAGAAGGGGACTATCATACCATATGAAAACTTGTTCATGTGCAAAGTGTTTGAAACCAACCAGAAAAGAAAGCAGTTTTTGGCACAAGCAGTGAGATTTAAAAAGCACTGTTCCTATTTCAAACTCTTATTTTTAAATTTTTCCTTAAAATAAACACCATAAATACGTAAAAGAGAAAGTTAAAACAAGTGTCCAGAATTTTAAATATTAAGTAATTTTTATAATTTGCTGCTGTTAAACTAACAGAGGTTTTTTGTTCAATGCAGGAGGCCTTACATAGAGAACAAATGTTGGAACAGAAGTTAGCCACCTTACAGCGGTTGCTTGCTGTCACACAAGAGGCATCAGATACAAGCTGGCAGGTATTCTGCCCCCTCCACTCCCCTCTCCTCCTCTTCCCGTTAACTAAATAACACACCTGCTTATTTATCAAAATTATAGAGCTCTGCTGACTAATTTAAACTTGGTGGGGATACTATGTGAATTTTTATTGTTTCTACTATATTACCGGTGTTGGTTTAAGGACATGTTTGGATTTCTTTTTAACAGGCTTTGATAGATGAAGATAGACTCCTATCAAGGTTAGAGGTTATGGGAAACCAGTTGCAAGCTTGTTCAAAAGTAAGTTCCATACTTGGTTAAGATGTATAGCATTTGGGAGCTTAATAATATGAAAATATTTATTATTTGTTTAGTGACGAACACAAGGAAGACCCTTGCTAATTTAGTTCAAAGGTCTATCTATTCCCTTTTCCCACAGTGACCAACTAGATGCTTCTAAGAAGTTTACATGAAAGGCATGAAATATTCCCATGCTATGCTGTCTTCCCTTCAGCAGCTTGTATTGAATAACGCAGTACCTCTGAGCATGGAGGCTTTATCAATAAAAATGCCTAATACTGCCTAATAGACTTTTTCATAATAAACTATTTAATAGTCTTTTAAATCCATCTAAACCAGTGAGTATCACCATTTCCAGCCACCATCTTGTCCATGTATTAATATGAAGTTGAGCTTAGGGATCCTGTTATAGTTTCAGTATTTGTTTTTATTATGCTGTTTTAATTGTAAGCCCCTTTAGATTATGCTGTAATAATGAAGACACCTTCAAGGTTGAACCAGCCCCTCTTTCTGAGGCGCTTCGGTTCAAAGGTGACTTGTACCTGGGAATGAACAGTGCCTAGAAGTTTAGGTGTCCTTGCTGCTGCTACCACCGCTCCTTTGTTTCTCCTTTCACCACCACCCAACCAGTTTCTCCCTTCTCCACCAGCCCACTGGGGAACCAGGTCAGGATTGAAGGGGAAGTCCTTGCCCTACCCAGGTCTGGCTAAACGGCAGAGAGGGAAACCAAACAAAACTGGGAGTCGGTAACTCAACCAAGCCGAGGCGAGTGCTAGAAGGCCACTAGTCAACTCCAGGATTAAAATAAAAATCAGCTTTATTAAATGTCCCCAAAGAAGTTAAGATTCCACATACACAATCCATAGTTAAAAAGAGTTAAAATACCAAAAAAAAACCAAAACCCCAAAAAACAAAAAAATCACCTGTATGCAATTCTAGCTACAGCCAAACCACTTAATTTCCAACCTTACCTGAGGTAACGCCTCTCAACACCCGCCCCCCCCAATATTCCCGCCCCCTTCTTTCCTTTATTGGAAATTTCCCCTTCAAATGAACTGATAATCCTAGAGGTTTTGCCACATGCAAATATGTAGTTTTGGATCATTTTCCTCACTAAATAAATGAATAAGTATAAGGTTTTTGATTCATTTGTTTAATTGGGTTCTATTTATCTAGCTTTAGGACTTGTGTGGAGAACAGATCACGTTTTAGGTCATATTTATGCAGAAATAGTGAAAATTCAAAAGGCTTCACCAGCTTTTAAGCACCACTGTACAAAGAATGACATTTTTTCACATAAAATAGAAAGTTGAGATCAGATGTGCACAGTTCTATATTTTCTGATTGTTTGAAATAGTATTTTAATATTTTCTCTGAAAAGCTGAATAGACTGGCTTATATTACAGCAGTTTTAAATTTTAATTTTAAGTCATAATTAAGATCACCAAATAATGCATTGCTGATTTAATCATTAATTTAAATGGTTTTTTTCCATTCTGCAGCCTATATTTGAAGTAATATTTGTACTTAGGCATCAGAGCAGATAAAATGAATAAGCCCTTTTAACTATAAACAGAACAAAGTAAAAACAATTTAAAAAAAGACACCTCAGATATCAGTGCAGTGACTTGATGATTCATGAAACTGGAATAAAAACAACATATGATTGTAACTGGTCATTTACTTATGAAGCTTTCTTCTGATGTTCAGATACATCCAGGGAATCTGTTGGCCTTCTGATTTTTATTAGGTTATTAGTCTCCAGGGCTCCCACAGAATTGTAGAGAAAGGCAGAGAGAGAGAGAGAGGGAGAGAGAGAGAGAGAGAGAGAGAGATGCAGTCATCACATAAACTCCTGTAACATTAGTATTTATTTATTTGTTTTGGTTCTGAGTTTCAGAAAACATTATGGAGTAGTACAGATGTAGCATGTTAAGAGACTGGGAATATATGCTTCTTTTTCATTCTTCTTTACAAGTTAATTACCTATAACCTTTCACTTTAAAATTAAGGAAAATGAAAATAGACTTTAATCATGGTTAATATTAAACTTAATTAAGATTCAAATTAATCTAAATTAACTAGGGTTAGTTATGAATTGTAACTTAATTAGGATTCAAAATTACAGTTAACATGTTACTCTGTATTCAAATCTTGGTTGCATTGAAATCTGTGTTAACATTAATAGTGGTTAAGTCTGTAGTGATATTTCCCTTAATTTAAGAAGTATATACTTGAAAAGAGCAGGAACATACATTCTTAACATTGGTTCTTGATCTTTAACCATGATCAAGGAGAAGTCAGCATTATGTCTACATCCTTACATGGTCAGAGACACTCTTTTTTCTTTTTTTAATAAGAAAAAAACATAATTCGTTCGTGAAGGCAGTCAAATTATATGGCATATTGAGTGATTGGTCAGAAATAAATCTGAAATCAAGAAGTGGCACAAGACTGGGAGTTTGAGGGTTTTATTCCCAGGACAAAGTTTTTAAGTGAAGTTCTAAAATGGATCATATATTTTATAACACTGAGAATATAAGAAAATATATAAGAAAATAAGAATTATGGGCTTAAAGTCTCTGCCATGTTATATTTCAGAATCAAACAGAAGATAGTTTACGAAAGGAACTTATAGCGTTACAAGAAGACAAGCATAATTATGAGACAACTGCCAAAGAATCCCTGAGGCGGGTCCTTCAGGAAAAAATTGAAGTGGTCAGAAAACTCTCAGAAGTAGAGGTATTTACTAATTACATTTTGGCCGTATTCCTAAGACATAAATAAAAGGTTGAGATCACGCAAGTAAATCTTTAGTGTGTTTACTTTTCACAACAGTTGGATTGTTTGATTTGTGTTTGTGTTGAGAATTCTCGGATGCTCTGCAGACTTTTTCTGTCATAAGATTTTTCACTCAATTGTTAATGTTCCCAGAGAATATTGGGTGTATATGTTGGGCTTATATGGTCTCTGTTTTTAATTGTTTTGCCATTTAGGTAAATAACTTCAAATCCTTCATTTATTTATAAGAGTTTGATTTTTCATAGCCAGGGGATTGTTTCAGTTCTTAGACAAAATACAGCATACGAGGACCTTCAGTGAACAAGGCTATTTTTTTTTATTTGTAGCACATCAAGGATATAAAGATATTAGCAAATATTAATATTGTTTCAGTCAGATAATTATGCAAGCAGTATTTAGCTACTGCGTACAAGACAGAGTTTCAGTTCTCCCCTCCCTCCGGTCTTCAAATAATGAATGTAGCACATTGCTTTGTGACCTAAATGCTCTACTATTCTGAGATTATTTGTTTCCTTGTCTGTAATAGTATTACGGCATGCCTATCCTAAGATGCAGTTGATAATAAATTCCCCAAAGACTTCAGTTACAGCTTAACTGACATCCTCTCATGGCTAGTGCAACTTTGATATTTTCTCGTGTTTTCAGTTCTTCTCCTCCCTGTAGATATCTTTGCTGGGTAGACAGATTGTATGCTGTTTTGTTGTTCTTCTTGCATAGTGATTTCTGTTGCAACCCCTCTTCAGTTATCTTGAATCAACCTGAACCCTGCATCTTTTCAGCAACTCAAGACTGCCTAATTTAATTTTTGTGTGCTAACCATTTTTTCCTTCTTTCTCTCTGAATGCAGCACCAACTCAGTTCTGCCAGCTCCTTAGCTCATTTCAGCTTCTTTTCCCCATGATAGACTCTGTCTGTGTGTAAATCCTTATTCAGTTTTCCCCCAACCTCAGATTATCACTGCCAGTTGTACTGTATGTCTGAGAGATCATACGGTAGTATGGCAGGCATGGCTTCCCTTCTCTGTTCTGTCACAGATATTTAGTAATTGCAAATATGTAGTAGAATGAACTTTTTCTAAATGTAAACATCCAACTTGTGTATTTTTCTTAAATAAGTTTCATATGAGTTCAGTAATAATGCTGCTGAAATGAAATGTTGGTTGAAAGTATTTTAAATGGCATTTTAAGGAATATAAACATATATAAAAGAAAATAAAAGATAAAAATGTTTTAATGATTTTGAAGTCATTTATTGAAACACATAATTTGAACTTCTGAACTGTTTATTATCTAAATTCACTGTTCGAGTTCATTGTAAATATTAAGTGTTTTTTTAATGCTTTAGAAGTGAGTCTAGAATTATACCAATGTAACAAGACAGAGTTACTTCTGTCTTGTTATATTGGTATTATTCTTCTATACTTCTTCAGTTAATGTGTGTCTCAAAGCTGTAAAATTAGGCTGTGCTCTGTGCCACTGCCATTAAGGTTGAAAATGAATTACCTGAGATTGGTCAGTAGTGTTTTAAAAGCTGGCCCAACTAATTCCTGTACTGTGGACACTGCACTTGAAATTATTCTTAGGGCTAATGAAACTGGGACCAAAAAAAAGCAGATAGGCAATGCCGTCTTTGCTCTGCTGTCTTGGGGAAAGGGCATCTCTTGCAAGGTAGAGTTGCTGCTTGCGTTTGGTCTGACAGTTGTCCCCAACCTTGGAGATTAATCTTTAAATATTTCTGTTCCTGATTTCTCTTGTTTATATTTTTAAAGTAGTAGTTCGGTGATGACTTTCATCATCAGTGCTCAACCAGTTAGTCTCTATTTTCTTCATTAATAAACAAATGATGTAATTTTATTCAAATGAGGTCTGTAAAAAATAATGGATATTACATTATGGATGGGTTACTGCCATCAATTTTGGATATCGTTTGGCAGAAGAATGTTTTGAGTGATACCCTATGCATTTCTCTCAGAAAATTATTGTGATTCTTGTACAACTTGCTTTGATTACAAAAATTAGATGACAAAATAACTTCTGTTTAAAGTGTGGTTTCTTTCTCCTTGCAGCGAAGTTTAAGTAACACGGAAGATGAATGTACTCACTTGAAAGAAATGAATGAACGGACTCAGGAAGAATTGCGGGAATTAGCTAACAAATACAATGGAGCTGTAAATGAAATCAAAGATCTTACTGACAAACTAAAGGTATAGATTTTATTCATTTATTATGTTATAATGATTAATTGGCGACCACAGAATATGAATGTGGCCCTTGGCCAAAGAAGGCTCTGCATCATAGATACAAATGTTCTTTCTAAATTCAAAATTTAGTGATGAAATACTGAAATTATTAAGATGGAGAAACAGAAATAATTATGGTCTTTAAAAGAAGCCTTCTCTGTTGCTGAGTTTCAAAGTAGTATCTGTCAAAAATGAATAGCAGTATGCAGAAAGCAAAAGGTGTAAAGAGATTTTCTTGAGCACATCCTCCACAAATGGTGGAAGAATGGTGTTAGCCTCCACAGATCTTTATTAGGCAAGATACTGAAAGAGGGAAAGAGAGACAAAGACTCCAAATATCACCATCCCCAACTCATCTGTCAAGTTTAAAATTAGATCCCAAATGCTGGAGATAAAACAGGAATATAACCTTGTCTATAGCAGTCTTTCCTCATCACCACTATTCCTTATTATAATGCCAGCACTACATATACTCCCAGACATTGACGCCATTACCATTAATTCCCTTTTGACAGGCAGTTTGGGGCTTGTCAGAGGAGTGGAAATTTCTAGGCAAATATCAGTAGCCATTATCAGCCTCCTCAGAGAGAAGGAATGAAACTAAGGTTACTTCTTAGTAAAAGGCACGTCCTAAACAATTCCCAGCAATGCTCAAATGAAAGCAGCAAAGTGGGCAGAATCAGTTCCAAAGCCGTATGTTTAGATACCTTTGTCTGTGTTCAGCAGCTGAATCAATTTATATCTAGTTCAGCTAAAATGTCTGAAATGGTAAAAAAAGGTGATATTTCTGTTTGCAGTAACTAATCTCTCCAGATATTGTGGTGATTTGTGTTCTCTGAGTTCAGCTGAAATAGCATTTCATTCACAGGCCCTTCAGGGGAAATGATGACTGGACAACTTCACAGATCACCTGTACAGAGATGACTCAGAATATTACTTCCTTTTCATTTAAGCAGACAAATGCATACCACCTTCTACTTTAAGATGCAGCCAGACTTTTTTGAGCTTTTTGACTGCAGATCCTTGCAATTATTATTGTACACACAATAACCCAAATGAAAGGAGAAAGAGTACAGTTTACAAGAATTTTGTGTATTTCACCCTTTTCTTTGACAGTGCAACAGTATGCAAAACCTTTGCTTGGTTTTTGAGTGAATGCCTCCTGGACACTGCATTTTCTTTTCTTTCCCCTTTGTATGTATAGCGGATTCTTGTGACTTCAAGACAGTCTCTTCTTCCACCGTGCTCATAGGTAGACTTCAGCATTCTGTTCCTGATGTGTCTCTGCTAATACTATGTCTTACGTATCTCTGCAGAATGTCACTTCCTTGTAAAACTGCTGGCATGATGACATCATAACTAACATGGGGTGTTTAAATGCAACAGAGGAAGTGTGGCTTGGCAACTCTGCAGCTACCCTTTTATCTGTTTCTCAGATTTTTTTTATAACATACAGAATATATTCTAGGAATATGGCTAGCAAATTATTTTTTTCCCTTTTTATGGTATAAGATGTCATTTTTCTTTGTGTGTGTGTGTTTGCTCCTGGAATTACAAGCTTGGGTGAGGGAATTAACTAAATGATTTTTTTCTTTTTATACTTTCCTATTGGTCAGCTGGAGAGAGGACACTGATTGTCTTACTGTGTTCCCTGCCTGTGTTCTGAGGCTGCAATGATGAGGATGCACAACTGGCTTCAAAATGATTTAGACGTTGGGGGAATATAGATAGTGCCACATGGAAGTGTCCTGACACGTGGAAAAGTGCATTTGATCTTTGATTGAAATAAAGTGAGAAAGGAATTGTTTCATAATATAGCACCATATACTTTATAGAACCACCATTTCATTTTTGCTTTCAGCTAGAAAATGAAAAGAGTTTCATAAAAGGTTTTATTAATAGATGGTTGCTTTCTCTTGCTTTGAATAGGTAGCTGAAGGTAGACAAGAAGAAATCCAGCAAAAAGGGCAGGCTGAAAAAAAGGAATTGCAACATAAAATTGAAGAGATGGAGGAAAGAGAGCAAGAACTTCAAGCAAAGATAGAGGCTTTGCAAGCAGATAATGACTTCACCAATGAACGGCTAACTGCTTTACAAGGTTAGTCCAGTAGTCCAAACATAATAATGTTACATGTTTTTTCTTTAAATTGTGAAATATATATATATTTTGGAATTCTGTTTTCAGTCCGGTTAGAACATCTTCAGGAGAAAGCTCTTAAAGAACACAACAGCTTAGGTAGGTATGACCTTAAAGTACTTTGCTTAATCAAAGAATTTTATAGAACAATTACATAGTGTTATAATTCTTGAGCAGTGGGAATATTAAAAAAAAAATGCCTCTGGTTCTTCAGGTCTTCATTTCTGGAGCATTGATAAATAACTGACAACAACAAAGCAGGGCCCTGCTTTTGATTTTTCTAAGTGTTAGCCCTGGAAGCTTCGCAAAATGTATTAAAGAAGAATGTAAAATTTTTAGATGGTACCATGGAGTAGTTGACAAAATCTTGCTTAAAAAAGTAAAATTAGATTTTCTCTCACTTTATGGTAGCTAAAATGATACAACCAGTCTGGAGCAGTAGTTCTTAAACTAGAGGTTATTATCCCCAAGGAGGTAGTTTGGCATATCCTGGGGGTAATGGAGCAATTTGTAATTGCTTGTTTGTCAGTCGAGGATCTAATTTGGGACCATTGTTGCTCTGTAAAACAACAGAGTCTGTGTTTTTTTGTGGGAATAATGACATTATTTGAGACCAGGAAAAGGGGTAATTGAGTCAAACAGTTTAAGAACCACTAGAGGAAGGCTAAATTTTCAGCAGTGTAACTCATCCACATAGAAAGGCATAATGTCTTCCTCATTTTGCATATTGAGAATTAATACAATTTGTTAATTCTAGGCATACAAGTTGATGACTTCGTTCCTAAAATTAATGGAAGCACAGAAAAAGGTAGGGTACTCTGAATTTTTTTTTCTTACAATGGTTTGAGCATTTTTAGGTTATGAGCCAGTTTTGTTCTATTATAAAAATAATCAAATGCAAATACTATATTTCATATTTTTGCTAAATATTAAAACAAAATATTAAGTATAGTAATTTTTATTATATTTTTAAATATTTAAAAATATTTAAGCATGGCACTTTAAAGTAAAATCAAGTGGACTATGTCTAAATATTTTGTTGTGGGATTGATCCTGCATCTTTCAATACTAGCAAAGAAAAATTTAATGGTAGGATTGTGTATCTATATTACAACTGTGTTGTAGTAAGGGTTTTTAATTTGCAATGGAGTCTTATATAAAGCTACTTAGAAGTAAACCTCACTGAATTCATTTGGACTTCGTCCCAGGCATGAGTGTATGAGATTACATCTTTGATTTGGCTGTTAATTGTAGTATTGCTATTTACAATGTGGGGAATGTGCATTGTTAATAAAATCTCAAGCTCCTATATTTTTAGCATAACTTCTTCCTATACTGTCTTTCTGGACTAGGGAAGATGTTTTATATGCAGTTTATTTTTTAAAATTTTCTGCTAAAATTGGTTACTCTAACCAAATTTCACTGAAGCTTTTAGGTATCTTAGGCTTTCTGCACAATATTTATTGCCAAGTTTCCATACCTAATGCAGCAAGATTTATTTACAATCACCTGTGGTGATAATATGGTTACAAAGGAATGAAGATGCCAGAATCGATGTTCTGTATGCTTCCTCAAGCTGTTTGGCACTGTATAACTTTTAATCTTAGCTAAAATGAATCTTAGCTCTTCCTTTTACCTACTTAAAGGATTTGATTAAAACCATATCTGCATTCAGTTTAAGGGTGTATCTGGGTTCATTTTAGCCAGGATTTATAATAATGCATATAATATTGTACTTACTTAGGAGAGAACAATTGGAATTTGCATGAAAACTGCTAGACTGCCCTCTGGGCAAAAAGTTAGGATATAAATCAAATCAGTAAAATATTAATAAAAATGGAAGGGTGCAATTCTGTCAGTTACTCTCTGAAATCTGGAACCTTTTACATCCAGACCAGGCCAAAGTAGAGATACATGTTACTGAAAACTGGCAAATAGTGGCTTTTATTAGCTAGGGGTTTTTTTTGGTGATTTATTTTACATGGTTTCTTGATCAAAAAACAGAAACATAAGAGGGTAGGCTGTGTAGTTAACCAATAATAACACACAAATACTATTTCTGCATCATGTATATATATAGCTTGACAGTCAGTTTACTTTCTGAAGTGAAATATCTTTAAAGTTAATAGGATTTAGTGTTTGCTTTCATACTTAATTCTTTTTACGTTCTTACTTGTTTATTACCAGATATATTCACTTGTTTTGCTGAATGAAAGGAACTTTCACATCTGACATTTCTCAGATTATTTTACTCCATTCAAAACTTGACAAATTATTCTCCTCTTTCTCTTTCAATATTATCAGGCAGTTCCTCTTATTCTTTTAGTTACATACTATTGGCATCCCTTTGTCTACTGTTCTTTCATTGTTCATAACTTTTCTCAGCACTTTACTTGCATGTTGCCTTCCAGGTTTCTCTCTGTGAGACTCACCAAAATATCTTCTGCCTTACAAATTTTCCCTTGCTCTGACATACCCAGTTTTCTTAATAAAATCTTTTGATCTTTATCATATTCTCTTCATTTTCATTACCTTGGATTTTATACTTTTTAGCAGATTACAAGTAACACCACAAATGGAATCTTAATTATTTGAAGAACACAGTCCCAGCTGTATAAGCCAATCCCATCTTCTTATGTAGATGTTACAGGTGCCAATCCTTATAGTGTTCTTATTTTTAAAGAAGTAGGCCACATTTTTCCCTGTTGTTGCCTCAGAACTCCCAGCATTTTGGTTCTGTGTTATGTAATGTTAATAATGTACCACCTCATCTGATTTCCTCTGGATTCTGCTCCAGGCACCATTCTCTGTTCTGCCCCTACCACATCACCACCTGCTATTAGGCCTTGCATTTGCTTTGCTAGAATGCAAAAGAGGCCAGACTAGCACTAGAATTAAGGCTCAGCATTATAGTAAACTATTTGCAAAAAAAAAAAAAAAAGTTTATGTGAGGGAAATTGTCCATGAACATGTATAATATAATTTGTTTTTCGGTCAGTACATGGGCAAGTCTGTGCAATTATCTTGGCAACATTTTCAGAAATAGCTTGCCATTGCCTTCTTCCACTTGAGAAGGTGACTGCTCAAAGGCACTCAGCTGTTTCCAGGCCTAAGGAAGAACTAGAGCTTGCAGTATCCTGGCTTCTATTCTAGTGCCTTTAACCACTATACAGTGGTACCTCGGGATACGAACTTAATCCATTCCGTGACTCTGGGCGTATCCCGAGTTGGTCGTAACCTGACGCAAATTTCCCCATAGGGTTCAATGTAAATCTGGTTAATTCGTTCTGCCCTCCGAATTTGGTCGCAACCCGAGGCAAATTTCCCCATAAGGTTCAGTGTAAATACAGGTAATCTGTTCCGCCCTCCACCCGAAT